CCAAATTATACATATCTGAAAGAAATGAAGGAACAGTTAGAATTTCATAACGCTAAAAAAGATTACGCTATATTTCAAAATGGAAGAAGATATCAAGATGAAGCACAGGCGTATTTTAATGAAATCCAAAGGTTGGAAGGTGAAAAATTGAGACATCATCCATCAAGTGAAACAGGTAAAACCTATTCGGAAATGATTAAGAAGAAGAAAGGAATAATTAACCAATTAAGACAAGATTTTGATTTTTAACAAATTAATTATATTAGATTAATAAATTTTATAATCTAATTAATTTCATATAATAATGAGATTAGAAAATGCACAGATGAAAACGCTAAAATCACAATTGAGATTAAGACCGTCTTATAATGAACTCATCATGGAAATTACAAAGGAAGAATATAGAAATACGAATATAAGAGATGTAATAGACAGAAACGCTTATTATTTTCGTGACAGTCCATTAGGGACAGTTTATGATAATAATACCGTAGATTTGAGACAACAACACTTTCAAAAAATGTTAGAAAAACCTAAAACAGTCGAGCAGTTTGATATTGCAAAGGACGATGAAATGGATGATTTAAGAGATGGAGCAATACAAACACTAAGTGCCACAATGGACGATGCCGAGGAACAACAGGAACAACAAACAAGTCAAATGGCAGAAGATGTTAGACGCAAATTTTTTGATGATTTACACGAAAGGGCACGGGTAGCCACAGATTGGAGAAGAACAAAATATGATACTCCATCAGAGGTTCAATCAATGGCAACTGCTAAATCAAGCGATGATGACTTACCACCGTTAGAACCTATTATTACAAAGGATGAAGCAGTTAAACGGATACAAGGGGCACAAAGAGGTTTAATGACAAGAGAAAATGAAAACATAGGCAGACAAACAAATGATGATGATTATGAAAGCACGAAAGCACCACCTAAGTCAAGAAAAGCAAGAGAAACAATAGATTACAACACAGACATAGACAGGTGGAAACACAGAGACATTAGCACAGATGATGTCTTTTTTCAACTACATTTAAGAGGCTTTCAAATGACACCAGAACAACAAGCAAAGTATGACAGTTTAAAAACAAAAGGAAAGGGCAAAGACCAATCCAAGAAACAATATTTAATTGATGTAATTGAAGAATTAATTTCAATAGGGAAATGGACGACGAAAGTAAATGATGAATTGTTAAGACAAAGAATGAAAGATTGGAGAAGTATGAAAGGAAAAGGTAAAGCAACAAAGGATTAAATCATTTATATAATTTATCATCAATAATATAAAACGATTAACAATCTAAAACACGAGTTAAGGAAACGCCCTACTTATGATGAAATGCTTAAACAAGCAATCACAAGCAAACTAAAAACAACAGTTATATTGAAGAAATACAAGAAAGGAATGTTATTGAATAATTTTGATTTTGATAAAATGGATTTGATGAATTATAAAAATAAAGAACGATATATGAATGCAGAAGTTATGATGGCAGACAAGGCAACACAAACGCTTAACAAAGAAAACAAGGCAACACAAACAGACCTAGCATATGATAAAGCGACACAAACTTATAATTTTGATGATATGACAAACATATTAGGCGGTTCTTCAAAGAGTTTCAAAAGCAAATTGATAACCAAGGCTGAAGCAGAAGCATTAGCATTTACATATGACCCTGATTTATATGATGATGACGATGATGAGGAGGATAAAAAAGATGATGATATTGATAAATATAGAAAGAAAATATTTATTTTGATGAGGATTATAGAATTTATGTTGAGGAGGGGTTTAGTATAGGACAAATAGTAGCACATTTAACATATCACACTACATTAACTACAATTCAAGGTTCTGAGTTATTAGTTAATCTGACAATGAATTCGTTAGTAACATCATACGATATAGCAACTGTTATAATGAATTGGTTGAATACAAATGTTAATGAAGAAGTTGAGTTCAACACTGAACCCCCTGTTAGTGTTCATAGTTCTCCACCTATCACTGTTAATAGTTCTTCAACACATACTGTTAATTCATCATCGTCAGAAGAAAATGCTAATTATGAAATAGCACCGCCTACTGACATCCCCGTTCCTACTGATGCTGACAGTGAAAATGATGAAACTGAAAACCAAAATACAAACCCTTCAAAAACTAAAACTACTTAAAGAAAAAATGCCTTAATATATTAAGAGAAAAAATGAATAAGTGTATCAGAGAAGAATTGACAAAAGAAATTGTAAAATGTCGTGGTTGTAAGATATTCAACAACAAAGTTAAAAAGCAAATGACATATTACCTGACTGTATCATTGATAATATTTTGAGTTTTGTAAGTTGTAAAAGATGCACCATTACAAAACATTTAATGAAAAACGAACCTGAAAATTTAAAAGAAATGGATAAGTGGATTTGGTATATGACGAGGTTAAATAAATGTCCGACCAAAAAGTCATTACGGACAATATTTACAACAGGTTTAGACAAAACCTTAAAAGAGTATGGATATGATAATATGTTAGTTTTATATTATGATAGCGCTTTCAAGTTTCATTATAATTTACTTTATCATAACAATGATGCTTATGTGTCTTGTAGGGATTTTAGTGTTTCAATGTGTAGAGATTTTCTGAAAGCATTGAAGTGGCAATATATAAAAAACAAAGACAAGGTCGTTTATAAAAACATTTTTGACAATGAGTTTTACCATAAATTTGTTTGTCATTTGTTAGAAAAGAAAAGGTTGATTATAGACTGGTTTAATTATAGAGATACTGATGATAGTGATTATGATTAAGTTTATTCATATTATTTAACTATAATATGGTTAAACACTTGTATCCCCCAGAAAGCCGTAAAATGGTCTGAAACCTGAACCTTGAAAATGTCAAAATGTTAGACTGTTCTTAAATGAAAAATTGTAAAAAAATGTTGAGAAAAATAGTTAAAAGAGTATTTAGTATAGAGTATATGGAGAAACATAATATAACAAATGAAAAGGGAACTAAACATAGACAATATGAATGTCCTTGCTGTAACATAATGATAGGACTTCATAATAAAGCGAGGCACGAAAGAACAAAACGACACAAGGACAATTTAATAACTGTTAAGGAAGAAACACAGACAGAAGAACCAAAGACAGAAAAACAATTAAATGTAGAACCAGTTAATGATATTTTTGAACGGCTTGAATATATGACAATGATTGGTGGTGATTGTTTTTAATGATATTATTTCAATATAATATGATTTAAACTATTTTTTTTGAGTTAGTCATCTGTTGCAGTACTATTTGTTGGGGTGAGGTTTTTGACAACTGAACAAGGTTAAACATTACTCTTTTTCAGAAATTTTGAAATTCTGTGGTTTTTTTAAAACGAATGAGGCGATGTTGCTGACCTCATTGAAAACTTAAAAAAAGTGAATAAGGTTGCCATTGCTTGACTTATTGAAAACGAAAAATTGTAAATAATTTAGTCCCCAGAAACCCCCTTGAAAAAGAGGATAGAGCAAATTTTGAGGATAAAACAGAACAGGTGTGATAGGAGGTTGAGAGGCAATAGGGTAAAATGATACTCCCAATGTCAAAACCCTGCCCCCCCTTTTAACTATTTTTCCCCCCCCCCTCCCCCGCGTACCGCGCGGCAATTTGATGACGTTCCACTAAACGTAGTCTTCGGGGAGCCGGTGTCGCAAAACAGGGGTCCCAGGCTCGATTCCCCCTGCCGGCTTTTTTGCTGGCTTGGGCTTCCTACATCCTTTTGCCAAAAATCTGGACAAACTCCATGTTTTTGGACGTCTTTCATACATTCATCCATTGCATTCATTTCATACATTACATTCGTTACATTCCTTACATACATTACATACATACATACATACATACATACATACATACATACATACATACATACATACATACATACATACATACATACATACATACATACATACATACATACATACATACATACATACATACATACATACATACATACATACATACATACATACATACATACATACATACATACATACATACATACATTACATACATACATACATACATACATACATACATACATACATACATACATACATACATACATTACATACATACATACATACATACATACATACATACATACATACATACATACATACATACATACATACATACATACATTACATACATACATACATACATACATTACATACATTACATTACATTACATTACATTACATTACATTACATTACATACATTACATACACATTACATACATACGTACATACATACATACATACATACATACATTACATACATACATTACATACATTACATTACATTACATTACATTACATACATACATACATACATACATACATACATACATACATACATACATACATACATACATACATACATACATACATACATACATACATACATACATACATACACATACATACATACATACATACATACATACATACATACATACATACATACATACATACATACATACATACATACATACATACATACATACATACATACATACATACATTACATACACATACATACATACATACATACATACATACATACATACATACATACATACATACAGACAGACAGACAGACAGACAGACAGACAGACAGACAGACAGACAGACAGACAGACAGACAGACAGACAGACATACACACACATATATATATATATATATGCATACATACATACCAGAGAGGGAGATTGGGCATAGAGAGGCTTGGGGGGATGGGGAGGATGGGGAGCAGAGGGAGGGAGAGAGGACGACAGAACACACAAGGGAGACAAGGGAGAGAGGCAGAAGGAAAAAAGGGAGAGGACAATGTCGGCGGACTGAGCCGGAGGCTGTAAAGTTTGCTTCCCATGAGCTTTTGGGACCCCGGCGAACCTCCACGCTGCCGGCAAAAGAAACGGTAGCTCGACGCAAGGCCTCGCCCGCAGGGACCGGGACTCTCCGAAGTCCGCGATGCGCAGTACCTGCCGGGAGCTCTCATAGAGGATGTTCTCGGGCTTGATGTCGCCTGAGCCGGGCCCACTCACATGCTGCTGACACACCAAACAGGTGCATCCAAACAGACACAACCGCATAAACAGACGGAGAAACGAGACGGTCAAGTTTCCTCTTGCTTGCCCACGGCGAGCTCGGAATTTGGCCCGAGAAGCGATGAAAGAAGTTGTGCTGGTGGATGTGTGCCAAACCTGGCGGAGGAAAAGCCAAACAATCTCGCTAGTTCCCTCAGCTTCATGCGTAAGATTAGCCGTTTCGCGCCGTCAAAATACGCATGCACCACATATGCTTCAAGCGCCATGTCTCAAAAGAAACAGACAACCACATGTGAGCAGCCAAAACCTGTTGACTTGTGGTTCTACCAGCACCGCTACGACACCGAGAGGGGTAGAATACCTCAATTGCAACAGGGTTGTGGAGTGGTCGGCTCTCACTTCTGTCCTTCCCCTTAAGGGGAGGGCTTCGGGCGCTCGCCCTCTTACACATGCTTGGGGGGCAGGGGCAATTCACACTCCCTGCCCAGAGGGTAGCCGTGAACGAGCTTCTTGACGAAGGCAAAAGTGAGTGACTCGCCCTTTCCACAAATACGGCATTGTTCTTCGATGGAAAGGTGCAGAAACCAGCAAAAGACCTAGCATGCCAGGGCATGAGGGGCAGGGGCTGTGACAGAAAAGTCAGAAGGCCTTTGACACCCAACCACACTCCCCAACTGAAACTTAGGCAGCAAACCAAGTGCTCCGACATGAGTTTATTGAAGTTCCCAAGACCGTCCATGGCCCCAACTTCACCTGAACATTCCGCACAAACCCCTAATTTGGACACATACCTATACAAGCAAATTCGCACGGGCATTGGGCGTCTGGTGCCGGCCACAACCCCATCTCTGCTCGCCTGCGAAGAGCTGCCGCGCCAACACCGCAGCAAAGGACTCATCCAGGCCGGAGGGGTATTGCCTGCACAAGGCCACAGGTGGCGGGGTTGGCGGAGCGTGCGACGGTTTGCTTTTCCTTTTGGCCATATCCTGCCTGACCAATCGACAAAGGTCGCTGTCCACATACTCAAAAATGTAGTACCTCGCCACGCCAAGGCCGGCCACGCCAGGCTATGGCTGAGGCTCAGAGGGCAATGCGCGAGACTGCAGCTCTCAGAGGCCCCTGAACAACGACATGAGCCATGGGCCATGGCCATTCGAGTGTGGCCAGCTGGGCTCAATGTGTGAGTGAGTGCGCTCACTTTCCGGTGAGGCAGACCCACATCTTGTTCCAAAAAGCTTCCCCAAATCAGACCCAAACAACCCATCTTGTCCCAATCAGACACAAACGAGACTTGGGGGGGGGCTACTGGGATCTCTGCGGCCGGGCGGCAGGCTCCCGTCCAGTTGGTTCCGCAGAAGCTCCTTAAGGCGCACAATGAAGGGATGCCGCAGCCTGAGTGCGCGTTGGCGAAATGTGTAAACCAGCCGAGGCCCCTTTCAAACGAACAAACTGAAACGAACAGGCCATGGACACCTACAAAAGCAGATAGATTGGTGCTTAGACGACATCTTCAAACAAATTCGTCCAATCCTCACTGGGTGGATGGGCCTGGTGAGTCACTCATCAAAACCTTGAATGAATCAGTTGCTTCGATGCTCCCAAACAGGGGGCCATTGTTTGAATGAAGCTCACAGAGAGGACCAACTTGCAGACACTTGCCTCGCAGCCCCCGATTCATCCCCACCCATCCCAAGCTGTTTGAGCACCAGGGTTTTGCAAAACTTGTACAAACCAAGCCCGGTCCGCATGCAAAGGGAGCAACAGGAGGTTGTTCAAACAATTGTGGCTTCAACATGCAGGCATGCCCAAAAAGATGCCCTCAAACTATATACCGGGTGTAAACCAAAAGAATGATCGCCGAAGCCCTCTCCAGCTCAAGCCCTCAAGCCCCCGGCTGGCGCAGCGCGGCCAGCTCCGTGGACTTACAGGCCTCGTCCCAGCTCTTGGCGCCCAGCTTGATCTGCTTCACTGCCACCAGCTCCTCAAAAGCAAAGTCCGGGAGTTGGAGGGAGGTTCTCTCAAAATGACGGTCTTGCTGCGTGCTTTCCTTGTGCGGCGCTTAGGGAAGTTCCTCTTTATGTCCTGTGTACTCTTGTTGTCCGTGGCGCTTCGTGCGCTTGCCAAGCGCTTGATTGCCTGCTTGCTCGCTCGCCCGCTTGCCTGACTGCCTGCCCACCTGCCTGCCTCTTTCCTTCCCTCTTTATGTCCTTCTTTATGCCCCTCTTTCTTCCATCCTTCCTTCCTTCCTGCCTGCCTGCCTGCCTTCCTTCCTTCCTTCCTTCCTTCCTTCCTTCCTTCCTTCCTTCCTTCCTTCCTTCCTTCCTTGCTCTCTTGCCTGCCTGCCTGCCGATTTGCTTGCATGCATGCCTAGTCTTCGAAGCTGAGCAGCAATGCCTAGTCATCAAGTTGGCCTTAACCTTGTGAAAAAGTTTGACCCCAAGCCCCTGTCTCATTGGCTCCTTGTCAGGCAGACCAGCCGCGCAACTCTTCCAAACAAGCCCAACGGCCAGAGGGCAACCTTTGATTAGTCACAAGGCGCTCGCTGGCAGGACTCGTTACGAGGGAACTGCACAGCTTGGCAGCCTGAACACCTGCCCAACAGAGGGCATCCTCCACAGAAACGGCAACCACAACGGTTGGTCCTGCTTGCTTGTTTAGGGGGGCCGGGGGGCCCAACCCCAAAGACTCGCGGGGCAAACTTGGGAAAAAAAACCTGGAAACACGCTGATCACAAACAAATCGGAAGAGTCAGACAAACTTGCCAGAAAGCTCGTAAAACGGCGAGATCCGACAGATTCACGAGAAAAGTGGCGGCGCAAAAATATGGGTGGGGATGGTTCGAAGTGGCAATGATTGTCTGCTCTTGGATTTTCTCACCTTCTCTTTGTCTGTTCATTGTTTGTCGTTTCTGTTGTGGTGCTTCGTTCTGGTCAGCCTAGGGCAAAGCGCAACAAGGCGTCATTTCAACGCGTGAAAGCGAACTCAAAGCCCGTCTCGGCTGGAAGTCCTCGGTCTTCTTATGCCTCGCTTTGTAGACCTTTCCAAAAGCGCCCTCGCCCAAGCGCTCCAAGACATCATAGTCCTCAGGCCCAGCTGCATGCCCCGTTTCAATCCCTCTTTGAAGGGCCTCCTTCATTCTTGTGCCACTCCCTCGCTCGAATAAGTCCGAGGGAAAATGGAAAATGTGTAACCTTCTCTTGTGGACAGTGACAGTGGTTTGGGAGACGTGGGAACACTCAAGTCCTTCTCGATGGCCATCTAGATGTCCATCGCCAGCTACGAGACCTGGGCCAACTCTCCACGGTCGAGGCCGCTACCCCTCCGCCAACAATGGATGATGATGGGCGGTCAGACTGACCGCCTTCATAGTGGTGCATAGTGACTGTACTGGGTAGGGCTCGCCAGGCTCCCCCCACCCCAGCTCCGGCCCCCCAGCCCGTGCCTCAGGAAGCGAAGGGTCCCTTCGGTGAAACTGGGATTCCTGGCCCTGAGCCAAAACGCCCACAGCACGCAAGGTGAGGCGCGGACAAAGCGCCTGAAGCGCATGCAAGCAGATTTCTGTTGAGCTGAAATGTGGAAAGAAAGGAGGCCTATGACCTAGGACAAGTAAAAGCCCATGCGTTTGCCCACATGCCTCGGGGCCCTTCGGTACTTCCAACCCTAACCGAAGTCGAACCTCCAGATCCGCGGCCAAAGGTTTCAACCTGACAGCAGGGAGGTGACTGGAAAAACCTCCGCAAAGCTCCAAGGACCGCACATCACCACCTCAGGAGCCAGTCACGACGAAAGGCTGTCTTTATGTGGTTGGAATCGTAGGAAGAAGCCAAAGCAAAGCGCAACTAAGGCAGTACTGAACTGAAATGCCAACTCTGAATCAGCGGCCATTTCCTTTTGCAGCCTTCAAAACGTTGTCGAAGGAAGCCTTCGAGTGCTGTATACAGCACCGACTAAAGCTCGCCAAGTGCCAGTTCAGCACATGGGACATATGGGACATGGGGGCAGGTCGAAACTCCACCAGGGGATGGCCATTCCAAATGCCTAGGGAGCCAAAAGCCTGGTGGACAAAGCATAGAGGCAGACATGCGAACCCGCGACGCCATGGCCAACAGACAACAATCGTGTGGCCGCTTTGGCGGCCTAGTCAAAGGATCCTCGTAGTCAACGACTTGAAGAGCGCGCACACCACGGCCCATCACGCGACCCATCGCGTCAGCCATGGAATCCAGTATGTACGCTGGCCTGCCTGCCGCGCAACAGCGCACCTGCTCCACCTCCTTTTGATCCGCCCTGCCTTTGGCAGGGGGGGCTAGAATTGAATTGCAGCTGTGCATGGCACGTTGGTAAACTCCGAAACATTGCTAGTCACCTAGTCTCTTGATGTGGGCCTTGTGCCTCCTAGGATTGGTGCATCTCTCAAAGCCCCGCATCACTACCCGGTGCCGATTGTGCCCTATGGCCTTGCAACTCCGCGCCTCGGATTTGGATTGGATCGACTCCCAGCGTCGCCGACCAGATTGGCAAAGGCAGCGAAAACAAAAACGAGGGGGTTCTCCAGAAAGCCCGACCACTATGCTTAGTATCCAAGCGCTCAAAAGTTCAAGGCGCTTGGCATTGCTGCTCCTCGAAGGCGAACGAGGCACGGATGCATACCTCAGCTTGAGGCACGGAGCCCAGACAACATGGTTAGCTGCATACTTCGCAAGGCCTAGGCGAAATCAATCAAAACCGCCTGCAGCCAACAGAAGTCGGCCAGCCTGTTCAAACGGAGTTGGAGTTCCGGCACGTCGTCCCTCTCCAGGCTTCCGGTCGGTTTTTCGCTGTCGCTGCAGCGCATGACCAGCGCCACCAGAACGGCCTCGCAACGCATGGCTTTCATGCCCATGCCCGCTGCTTCTGGCTGCCACTATGACAGCAAGGCGACCAGGGAAAACACCAACAACAGAAAATTAGAGGAAGGCTGGGATTCTTTGGGATGAGGGCACGTAAGAGCGGCAGGGCAGAATTGCGACGAGCTGCACATGCCAAGAGTAAGGCGCAGAGTGCCGCAGCCTGGCAGGTCAGGTGCCAGAGGTGTCACATGAGCTGAGGGTTCATGAGCAATTCCGCACCCCCTGTTTTCGGCACCGCTGCTCATGCGTCCAGAGAGAGGTGGACATCTCGCCTTGCCGCTGGACGGCATCGCACACTCCAACGATGATGTCGTCGCAAACGAGCCAACTCCCTTGTGTACCAATCCAGCCGCTGAAGTTGTATGTGTTGGACGTAGGGCCGGGGAAAGCCAGTTGCCAATGTTGCCCTGTTACCTTAGGTTGGATCACCAGGTTCGAATGAAGAGATACGCCAGGGACTCCACGATTCCACGATGGCGGCCAGTTCCTCGCGCGCTGATTGGATCGCAGTCCGAGCCACGTGGCTGATTGATCCGAGGCTTTGAGGCTACATGCGTCATGCCGGCCAGCAGAACCCAGGGAAGCCCCGTTTGTGGCCCGCTACCCGGGGCACAGACCAGGGCAGCGAGGTCGAAACGCAGCTCTCGCAGAGCGTCACCTCGGGTGAGCCATGTGCACTCCACCCACTCAAGGTGCCCATTACCAACCTGCCCACAGAAAAATAGCCACCATACTTTCACAGCCCGCCAACCTCATCACCAATGCCCAGGTCGATGTTTTCTGGCACCGCCACCACCGTGGTGCTGGCTGCAGAGTTCAACACCTTCAGCGCCGTGCCGTCCCCGCTCCGCACGAAATCCCCCCGGAACTCTGCGAAGCCCACTGGGAGAATTGCCACCCGACCACCAGACGGCACCGCCTCAGGGTGAGGGGAGAAAAGGAGCATTGGCCCAGGTCTAGAAGCACGTAGAAGATTATTTGTGGAGTTAACTTGAGCTTGAGCTTTCGACAGTTGTCAGAAAAGGTAAACGTCCAGCGCAAGGAAACCCGCCAAGAACAGTTGGTTCACAATACCAGGATTCAATACCATGAGACTTTGTGCTCTCGCCTTGTTCAACCAAAAAAGAAAGTATCCGAGCTGCCAAACCCTCCGCACCTGTCGGGTGACTTTTCAACCTCTCCGCCTTTCGGCTCGTCGCACAGTCCTTGCCCACTTCGCAGTACCCGAGCCGCTGGTTCTCTGGCAGCACCTTCAGCCCCGACACCGAGGTCTTCCAAGTCACCGACGTCGCCTCGCTTTGGAGGAGCCCCTGGCCAAGGCGAAGGTACCACCGCCGGAAGAGCGGCACCTGGCGTCGCGATGTCGAGTCGAAAGCATCCAAATTAAATTCTAGACGCCTTCTGCACCTAGTTGGAGATGTGCCAACCCCTACACAAGGTAGATGGCCTCCATGCAAAGTGCACATCTGCGATTGCTTCATTCTCCAAACTGCGGGTATGTACTGCAAGTGGCTCTCCTTTAGTCATCAAAACTGGCCTCAACAAAACGGGGAGGGGGTGCTGGGGTTCGGTTGCTGGCGCGTCATGCTATGAGTTCAGCTGCGGAGTTCAGAGCTGGTTTCGTAGAATCTTCGGCCATTGCTCCGAGCCAACGCAGCTATGGTTGTGCAAAGCCACCTTCGGTGATACCAACATGGGTCACTCCCATGACTATTTCATCACTTTGAACGGGGCTTCCCAGTATCACTGCAAGTAGCCCAAAAACCATAACCATATTGTCTAGAACCCCTCATCAGCGCTGTTTCAGAGCTCTAGATCAACCTACAGAAGGGGGCCACAAAGGAAAAAAGGACCCACCTCCTGAAGCGGATCGGAAGCTTTTTGAACCAACAGAAGCTTGTCCATGGCACTTCTTTGCAAACGGTGCCCGCAACCATGGGGCAACCTGGCACAATGCCAGAGGTGCTCATTTTGATTCATGGTCACCTTGGTTGCGTTGCAGTGGCCCACTCACCTGGCTGGCGTCCTCACAGGAAAGAAAGAGGGTGACAGTGATGGAAGGCGCGTCAGCATCTCTCCGTCGCACAAGAAAAGAGAATTACCCCGGTTGCTTCTTGTGGATTTCTTGTGGGGTTATTGTGGGTGTCTTGTGAGAGTCTTGTGGGATTCTTGGTGTTGCATCACTTGGTTTGGTGCTGGCAACCAGCTGAAAAGTTGGATGAAAAGGGGGCGCCTCAGCCGAGCCAGGTTCCAATATTTGGGTGTGTCTCAAATTAGGGGTGCATAAAAGGGTTCCTTTAAACAAACACCGAAAATGGCACCAACAAACAAAAAAACAGTTGGAAAACTGCCCAGTGTTGTTTTCTTGTTGCCACCCCCCCTTCCAGTTGGAAAGAAAGGGCTTCCACGAAGGCCAATCTCAATCACCTACCTTCTGACCCGTCCGGTAACCTGGTTGCATGTTGAGAAGGTTCTCAACATGACGGTTGGAGGATGCCATGTCACTTATGCCGAGAAGCTTCGTGCACCTTTTCGAGGCTCTCTTTAGCAATACCTGCTTGAAATCAAGGGATGCAGGGATGTTTTTTAGCCGTAGCAGCTTGCCTCCACGCTCATCCCCAGGCCGCCGCCCAGGTGCACCTCCGCAGAGCTGGGACAAACGTCACATGAGAATCCCCGGTGTCTGGTAGCTGGTTTTACCCCCAAAGACCTCCGCCACACGCCGTATTGGCCAACCCCCCCCCCCCCCTCGCCTCGAAGGGGGCGCCGCCCTTCCGCGCCGCCACGCGGCTCACCGCCTCCGCGGCCCGCAGCCTTCGCAGCGCCGAGGTCAGCAAAGAGGCGTCGCCGCTGCAGCAAAGGCGCGTCCACAGACCAACTAGCACCAGGCCTGCGCAGTCTGAGGTTTCTTTTCTTGCTGAACCTCCGCTGCTTCGGAGGAATCCCCCATTTTGGGGCGTCGGCCTTCCGGCCGAAACGAACGAATCCAAAACCAAAGCAGCACCACGGGACTCCGCCTCCGGCTCCGGACCTGCGCCCGCGCGCGACCACATGCGCCGCCACGAGGGCACTCCGGAGGCCACTGCGCCCGATGCCGGTGTCCAGCTCCACGTGCAGCCCTCAAATTGAGAAGCATGGGCTATGCCTTGGGGGTGCCTCTTTTAGGTTTGATTTAAGGGGAAAACCCAAAAAGCTATCATGCGGGTTGGCGTCCCTAGTTTGGCACATGCTCGCATGAATCCTCCTTTACCGTGAGGGGAAGGAATGCCTCCAGTGTTCAAGTCGCCCCCACACAAATTGGAGAATGGATCGGCCCCCATCCGAGGCCAATTTCAGCCAATCCCAACCCCTTCTGGGTAACCACTTGATGTCCAACACCCGAACTTCCCTGGTTTAGGTTTATCATGGTCTATCACCCACAGAACCTGAACAACTCTAAATTTGGATGGTCTCCATTTGAAAAAGATTGGGCCGGTTCCCATCTCTTCAGGAAGGTGTGTATGTCAAAATAAGGGCACCCCAAAATGAGTAGTCGGGGGCCTTGCCCCGCAAATAAATTGCTTCATACATACCCCCCACCCTACATTTTTTTTCATCTTCCATCTTCTACCCTTATTTGTTTTCATCATTTTTCTACATTCCTTTCTGTCCATCTCATCCGTTTTTTTATCATCATTTTTCCAAAATTTTCGCCATCCTTTTCTCCTTTCTCCTCGCCTCATTCATTTCACCAACTACCCTCCAAAATGTCATTTCCTCAATCTCCTCGCCTCATCCATTTCAAAAAAATAAATTTTGCAAAATATATTGCAAAAAATATTTGTCATCAAAAAAATATTCGAACTGTCTAAAAACGATTTGTCCATTTCCCGGACAAAAAATAGAACAGCAACAACATCACTCCCTCCTTCGTTTCATCAGTTTCATCATATATTTGTTTGGGCGTGGTGTCCCTTGTAGGATTTTATCTTCAATATATAAAACGCTATACTGACATTATAATTATAACATATAAGGGTATAAATGTTATAATCATAGTATGGTTATGAAATTAATAATAGCTACCAACACTTTCATTATCGCTAACTTCTTCTTCGCTTTTGTAGAAGTCTTCAGTGCCTAATATATGATAAAACCGGATATGCCATTCTGCTTCTGTTCTAAATGGCATCATTGATAAAAGTGCTCTCATAGCGTCATAATATTGACTTGTCAGTATTTTTCTACCATTAATGTTCATATCATCAATATTATTAATAAACCATAGATGCTTAAACTTATATTCAATATTAAATATGTAAGAATAATCGTAAAATGTTTTTAATTCTAAGTATATTTCATATTCAGATTTTTTCCATTTAAATATTCAGTCAAAGACATTATCCAGAATGGATTTCTTTTTACCTTTTCCCGAGTTGGAAAAGGGTGTTTAATGATATCGTTATACCTGTAAGGACATATATCATAACAGTTATATGACATAATATTCAATCTAATTTCTAATGGTAAATTGTTAAGTTCCATTTCCACTGTAATATATATAGTGTTGATTTCTTTAAATACTTTTTTACAAGAAATAAAATTACATATTGAAATATAATAATAACATATAATATTTTACATGTTATTATTATATTATGATTATAATTTAAGTTCAGGATAATAATTTAATTGATATATCTTACCTCTTTCATACATCATTTTAAAAATAAGATTAATATCTCTCACTGTATTTTTAACATTAAACTGTTCACTTTCAATATATGATTTTATGACTTTTTTTACATCAACGCCGGGTTTACTATAATAAATCAACATCCATAATATATCATTAATCATTTCACACTTTTTCTTACTGATTTTAAGAAACTGTTTAACATAATCGTAAGGTGGTCTTTCATACACAGTTAAAAATATCAATATTTCATCTTCAACATTTCTTTCATCTATATTTTTAAACGCCAAACAATTTTCTATTATATTTTGATATCGTCTCCATCTTCTACAAGTTCTACATATATTTTCTTCGTCCAAAGAATAATCAATAATATTATTAACTATTCCATTAGGTAAATTCAATTTATATAATTCCATATTTTCTTTTTTAAAGTGGCAACAATCGTAGCATTTCTTATTGATATAATTATTGATTTCGGTTTCCATCATTTCTATTATAATATATATTATTTTTATTTCTTTAAATACTTTTTTACAAGAAATAAAATTAAATATTGAAATATAATTATAACATATAATATTTTACATGTTATTATTATAGTATGATTATAATTTAAGTTCAGGATAATAAGTTAATTGATGATTATTAAATTGTGTAAATATCTTACGTTTGTCATGCATCAGTTCAAAAATAATATTAATAGTTTTCACGGTATTTTTCACATTAAACTTATTGCTTTCAATATATGATTTAATGTCTTCTTTTAAATCAGACCCCTCTCTTCTACGATGTAACAACATCCATAAAATGTGGTCAATCAGTTCATACCTTTTCTTACTGATTTTGAGAAATGCTCTAACATAACTATAAGGTGGTCTTCCATACACAGTTAAAAATATTATAATGTCGTCTTCAACATTTCTATTATGTCTTCTTTTCAGATTTAAATGACATCTGATTAATTCTTGATTATCTCTCCATTCCTGACAAATTTCACATTCATCTTCTTCACTCAAAGCATAATCGATAATATGATTAACTATTCCATTAGGTAAGTTCAATTTATACAATTCCATGTTTTCTTTTTTTAAGTGGCAACAATCGTAGCATTTCTTATTGATATAATTATTGATTTCGGTTTCCATCATTTCTATTATAATATATATAGTTTTTATTTCTTTAAATACTTTTTTCCAAGAAATAAATTTATACCTTTAATAACTCATGTCTCAAAAATGCCCTGTCATAATTTTCAATATAATAATATTCCTGTCCTAACTTCTTTTCAATCTTTGCTATTTTGTAGGTTTGTTTAGTCCATACTCCTACTCTCTCCTTTTCATTCGGTCTCCTTTTCCTGAATATCTTAACTTCATTTCCTACATTTAAATCTGGATAAACTCTATTTCTTTTGGCTTTCATACCTAAATTTAAACTCACTTCTAATTGATGTTTAGGCTTCTTGCTTCTGACGGTGTTAAGCCGTGCGAAGTGTGCTTTATTCCATTGTTATAAGTTAATATAATCTCGTGTATGTAGTCTGTCCATTGAATAGCCTTTCCTTTTTTCTCATCGTTTTCAACCCTCTTATACAAGCTATCTTTAAACGTCCTTATCGCCCTCTCCGCAATGCTGGGTGTCCTCTGGTTCTGTGCAACTCTATTTTTTCATCCTTCAAGAAATCTATAACACTTTGATTATTATAAGCTCCTTCGTCGTCAATATAAATTAGTTTGGGCTTTCCACCCATTTTTTTAATACATTCCATCAGTCCTGCTAAAATGTCCGCTGGCTGTTTTGACATAAGCGGGACAACAACCATATACTTAGAAAATATGTCAATACACATCATGCCAACTTTCATTTTTTGTTTAGGGATATCATTAATGAAAAATAAATCAATTTGAAACTCATAATATGCGTTAGGAGCTACAAATGAATTCTGTCCTCTTGGCTTGGCTTTCTGTTCTACATTCTTCCTAAAAAACTCATTAATATCGTTTATAGTTATTGTGTTATCCTTTTTTCTTGCTTCTTGTAA